AACTCATTTTGGGCATGTTTAGGATATGCTTTATGTGGGACATCCAAGTGGAAATGTCAAACGTGCAGAAAGAAATATGGGCCTAAAACACAGTGGATATATAAAATTGGTATTCAGTGATGTACTTACAGACAATAGTTGACATGGGGATCTAGATGAGATGACCCAGAGACAGGGAAAGTGAAGGGTGAGAGGATCAGGGACCTGATCCTGGGAAACACTAACCTTTAAGAGGCAGGCAGAAGATGGAGAGCCAGCGAAGGAAACCAAGTAGAACTGTGAACAAGCTTAACAGGATGGCAATTTTCAGGTGAAAGCATTGCCCATCTTCCCCCAGGTGATAGAAGCACTAGCTTCATAAGAGCAGCAGTGACTATCTTCATAGCTTAAAGTATCTGCTCTAGAATCAAGCTGCAACCAGACAGGAGATGAGGACAGTAACTACAACTAGACAGAACATAATAACCATGGCTGCATTTAGGATGCTAAATCAAATCAATGTTAACCATAGCCCCCTAATTTCTTAGCTAAGGTATTATACTGTACAGATTAGTTAAGATTTTTATAAGGCATTCAGAATCCAGCAGTAAGAACGACTGCTATGGTGAATACTCTCCTATGAAGAAAGAGACGGGGAGAATTGCAGAATGTCCATCTCTGCTAAGGGACCCCTACCAAAGGAAGCCAACTTCACGCAACTGCCCAGGTTTTGGTTTCAAGGGCTGCTAGGAAGCAGCCAGAGGTTGCCAGCTGTAGAGGGCGGGGCTCTATTTTGGGCTGCCTGCTGTCCCTGAGCCTGGCCGCGTCTGGTTGAGCAGCATGCAGCCCCAGTGACTCACACACCCATGCAAACCGCCTGTGGCTCAGTGGCATGGCCTTGGAATGCCAGCCTTAGGCCAGCTCCCTCCTTACCCCATTACGCTGGGATAAATAAATAAAGAGCCCGCCAGAAGCCACACAGCCTGATGGCAACCAGATGGAGAGAGCGAGGCATGGACAGGGCCAGGGGAAGGAACTCCCTCCAGTGGACTAGACTGAGAGTGGGCTCTGCCCAGTCATCCTAAACTTCCTCTTTAGTACAGTTCCTCCCGCCATGTAACAACAGTCCCTAATGCTCTGACTCTTCTTTCATTCCTAAAGATGCCTCTCAACCCATACCTACAAAGTGCCCTGTATTGGGTTCTTGCCCTCCATGAAGATGCCAAGAGGCACCCCACCCAGCCTTGACTCGAGTGGATATTGCCAGTATTTCCCCTCTAGTCAGGCCACTATTAATTGGCCCCTTAGATTCCCCAGAATTGAGAAATCAGAGGCTCTTAGAGGGAGTGGAAAAACAAAAGGCCCAAACAGAGAGAAGTAACCCCTGTTCAATTCTTACCTTCCTGAATCTTAGTATCCTAACAACCGGCCTGGCCTGCTGCCCCCTGTGCCTTATTGTCTATAGACTCTTGCCTAGTAATAACCCCAATGAGAATTTAAAAAACTGACCCCAGGCAATGACCGCATGGCCGTCTGACACCAGCCCTGGCCCCCCTGCGCCTTCATCCAGAGCTCTCTCCCTGGTTTGTTTATCTTCCTATTCCATGTTGCTTATTTTGATGGCACATCCTTTTAGTTCAGTCTTGAGTGACCCCATGACCCTTCTGTGTCCTGTTTGTAGGACCCTGGGCAAGCAGAGTAACTAAAAAGATGCAGCAGTCATAAGGAGTTCTACACCCCCAGTAGGAAACCTTTCAGTTCTAGCAGCTATGCAGGACATTCTGAGGACAGTGCAGTGACTCCAGAGGTCACAAGAATTCCATGTTACCTCAGCCCTATGTCTCCCCTAACTGGTGTGTACAATCAGTTAAAGTAGCAAAACAAAACAGGGATAATTCTAGACTGTGTGTCAAGAAATGTAGGAAGTCCTAAACATAAAGCTACAGCTATATGACCTTAGGCAAGTCACTTAACCTCTCTGAGGCTCGACTTCTTCATCTATAAAATGGAAAGCTATAACTATAACTACCTACCTCCCAAATCCTTTCCAGATATAATAAAATTCTACAAGTTTATGAAGTTGATTCACCCAGAAACTACAGGACCAGTAGTTTTTGGTACTTTTTTTTTTTTTTTTGAGACAATCTCACTCAGCCACCCAGGCTGGAGTACAGTGGCACAATCTTGGCTCAGTGCAACCACAGTCTCCCAGGTTCAAGCGATTCTCCTGTCTCAGTCTCCTAAGTAGCAGGAATTACAGAAACCCACCATCACGCCTGACTAATTTTTGTATTTTAGTAGAGACAGGGTTTTACCATGTTGTCCAGGCTGGTCTTGAACTCCTGACCTCTGGTGATTCGCCCACCTCAGCCTCCTAAAGTACTAGGATTCCAGGCGTGAGACATGACGCAGGGCCAGGACCAGTATTCTTGAAATAGTTGGTTCTAAAACACTACTACTCTTCCTATGCTGGTACCTAAATTCTATATGCTTTCTCATTCAGTTCTACAGGGCTCCTCCCAACCCCGTAGTATGAAAGAGATGAGCCTCCAATTTCACAAATGAGAAGTGATTTATCCAAAGCTGCAGAACGAGCCAAGAGAATAACTGAAGACCCCAAATACAGATCTAATAAGCAACACTGAGCCAGGTCCAGTGGCTCACACCTGTAATCCCAGCACTTTGGGAGGCCAACGTAGGCAGACCACATGTAGTCAGCAGTTCAAGACTAGCCTGGCCAACATGATAAAAATGTCTCTACTAAAAGCACAAAAATTAGCTGGGCATGGTGGCGCACACCTGCAATCCCAGCTATTTGGGAGGCTGAGGCACAAGAATCTCTTGAACCCAGGAGGCAGAGGTTGGAGTGAGCTGAGATCACACCATTGCACTCCAGCCAAAATAAACCAACACTGTATCCACAGGCCACACTGTCATAATTTTTATAAAATCTCCCTAGCATAGATTTATCAAAATATTAATCCCAATTTATTGAAAACTTACTACTTGTAGGCACCATATGCAGTGCTGGGGATATAGAAATGCATTCAGCGTGGTCCTTGCCTCAGAGTCCACAGATGAATTGAAGAGAAAGCCATAGTCTTGTAGATGTACAAACAGTAATACTACAATGTTATAAGTGGTAAAACAGGGGTATAATCCAAGGTACTGTAGTAGCAGGGAAGAACAATCTTTACAAGTGGAGTACAGAAAGGTCTCCCAAACAAGGTGAAGCTAACATCTAGGAGATTAATAGAAGTTTACAAGTAAGATAAGGCTACAACATTGGGCATTCTAGATCACGGGAAGAATGTGTATATAAAGATAAGATAAAACAGCATTTGGGGAAATTAAAAGTCATTCCATATAGCTAAAGCATAAAGTACATAGAGAAAAATGTTAAGAAGTCAAGCTCAACAGGTATGCTAAATCAGGAAGAGACCTCTCTACTGAGCCAAGAACCAGCCTTGCATTATTTAACTAAGGGGGTCAGGCAGGGAACTGGGGCAATAGGCCTGGCACAGTGGCTCACGCCTGTAATCCCAGCATTTTGGGAGGCTGAGGCAGGCAGATCACCTGAGGTCAGCAAGCTGGTCAAGACCAGCCTGACCAAAATAGTAAAATCCCGTCTCTGCTAAAAATACAAAAATTAGCTGAGCATGGTGGCATGTCTGTAATCCCAGCTACTAGGATGCTGAGGCAGGAGAATCGCTTGAACCCGAGAGGGGCAGGTTGTGGTGAGCCGAGATCGTGCCACTGCACTCCAACCTGGGCAACAGAGCAAGACTCCGTCTCAAAAAAACCAAAAAAAACAAACAAAAAAAACAAAATTAGCTGGGCATGGTGGCAGGCACCTATAATCCCAGCTACTCGGGAGGCTGAGGCAGGAGAATCGCTTGAACCTGGGAGGCGGAGGTTGCGGTGAACCAAGATTGTGCCATTGCACTCCAGCCTAGGCAACGAGAGTGAAAAAAGTGAAACTCCATCTCAAAAAAAAAAAAGAAAAAGAAAATGGAGCAATAATACTAAGGTACTAACTGTACAACCAACAAGTCCCAGAAGAGTGAGGGAAGAAGATCAATAGTGACTGGCATTATCAAAGGTCACTATTATTAATACTTCCCCTATTTGGCATTTAATAGATGTTTCTTTTGGCTGAGCTCAATCCTTAGAAGGGAAACCTAGGCAGGAGCTTCTGACAGACCACAATTATCTACTCCCCATTCATTCCTTCGCCAGTCTCCTTGTATAAACACTGTGATTTTCCACAACCTACTGTGCCCACAAGACAGCCCCCAAATGGTAGCCCTAAGCTTTTTACCTTCCTTTCCTGCTAGATGCTAAAAGGGCCTAGACAAGTAATGATGCCTACCCTTCTGCTCCACAATCCAGACCTTGTGACCAGATCCCAGCAAGCAAAAATTTAACAACGGGTCAACCAACATTTCCAAGGCTAGAGAATTCCAAATGAAATCCCTGGTACCTTAACAGAAATGTTCTGTAAGTATCAATCAGCCCACTTTCACCTCTTACGTTCTTTCCCACTTTTCATCTCAAGCCTTATCAGACTTTCTATGAGCAACTTCTTCTTTTTTTTTTTTTTTTTGAGACGGAGTTTCACTCTTGTTACCCAGGCTGGAGTGCAATGGTGCGGTCTCGGCTCACCGCAACCTCCGCCTCCTGGGTTCAGGCAATTCTCCTGCCTCAGCCTCCTGAGTAGCTGGGATTACAGGCATGTGCCATCATGCCCAGCTGATTTTTTGTATTTTTAGTAGAGACGGGGTTTCACCATTTGACCAGGATGGTCTCGATCTCTTGACCTCGTGATCCACCCGCCTCGGCCTCCCAAAGTACTGGGATTACAGGCGTGAGCCACCGCGCCCGGCCTTATGAGCAACTTTTTCACACAAAGGGCATTCCAACCACACAAGCCACCTAACACTCAAAACACAAGTTGCCACTCAGGCACCTGGAAGGAGGAAGCATGGCAAAGACACACAAGAAAATAACAAATACCTTACCTCTACCATAAATTGTTCCAAGAAGGAGTTTTCTTCAAATGGTTCTGTCTTCAATCGATCTGTAATAAGGAACAGAGAAAAGAAACATGAGTCATTAGGATGAGCTTCTGACCTGATGGAAAGGGAACAGAACAGGGCTTCTTAGGAAACAGGAGGAAGATGCATCATGCAGAGACACCTAGTCCAGTGGGAGAAGAAGGGCTGAGAGCATGTGGGCAAACAGTAGTGGGAGAGGGTGATCAGCAACAAATGGCAGGTTTGGTGGCAGCATCTGCTCTAGAAGTTTTTCCTGCCACAAAAACAAATGCCAAATTGAACGTTTATTCTGAAGTTGGAGCCATGAAGCTTCCTAAACTCCCAAGTCTATGTTGCTCTGGTACAATTCTGCAGAGCTATTGGCTCCTTTCCAAAGCCTTTCCCTGCCATTGCCTAGGGCATGTCTGAACTCGGTTACAGCTTCTATTGGCTACTTGGGCTCCAGCCAGGTACTCAAGGCAGAGAAGTGTTTGCCTAGGCCGGACACGGTGGCTCACTCCTGTAATCCCAGCATTTTGGGAGGCCAAGGCAGGCAGATCACTTGAGGTCAGGAGTTTGAGACCAACCTGACAAACATGATGAAACTGTCTCTATTAAAAATACAAAAGATTAGCTAGGCATGGTGGCATGCGTTCACAAACGCAGCTACTCAGGAGGCTGAGGCAAGAGAATCGCTTGAGCCCAGGAGGCAGAATTTGCAGTGAGCTGATATCATGCCACTATACTCCAGCCTGAGAGACAGAGCAAGACTCCACCTGTACAGAAAGAAAAGTCACCTAGTATCAAGACTCCAGTTTCTGGTTAGTACCCAGCACCCACCCTGGGGGAAGCACCTCTCTAATGCAAGTAAGTCTCCCCCTTTCCTAAGAATCTTTGACTATTTACACCACCCCTCACACTACTCCTCCAAGAATGTCCTCTCACCTCGGCTCAGCGTAGCCCCACTCTCCTGGTAGTCTTGGATCTCTAGGTCTTTCATATGAAGCAATGTTGCTAGTTCTCTCACTTGGCACTGCAATGACAGACTCATACCCATCAGAGGACGAATCAAATGTTGGGAGACCTTTGATGAAAGAGATATCAATTAGCCAAACCAGTCTTATAAAGTACTCTCCAATTCAATATTAAGTGCTATAAAAAAGACTGAAAAATAAATGTTCTTGCAGAAACTTATTATTTCATAGCCAAGTAATCCATTTACATGAATGTAAACACAAATACAATAATTAAATATATTACGAAGTTGGCCAGTGCCGTGGCTAATGTCTGTAATCCCAACACATTCGGAGGCCAAGGTGGGTGGATCACTTGAGGTCAGGAGTTCAAGACCAGTCTGGCCAACATGGTGAAACCCTATCTCTACTAAAAATATATAAATTAACTGGACATGATGGCAGGCCCCTGTAATCCCAGCTACTCAAGAGGCTGAGGCACGAGAATCATTTGAACCAGGAGGCAGAGGTTGCAGTGAGCTGAGATCGCACCACTGCACTCTAGCCTGGGTGACAGAGTAAGACTCTGTCTCAAAAAAAAAAGAAAAAAAAAAAAAAGATCCCACTAGTTGTGATGGCTCATGCCTGTAATCCCAGCATTTTGAGAGGCCCAGGTAGGAACTCACTTGAGCCCAGGAGTTCAAGAGCAACCTGAGAACCATAGTGAGACCCCAACTCTACCAAAAAAAAAAATTTATCATTAGCCAGGCATGGTAGCATGCACCTGTAGTCCCAACTACTCCGGAGGCTGAGGTGGGAGGATCACTTGAGCCCAGGAGGTCAAGGCTGCAGTGAGCTGTGATCATGCCACTGTATTCCAGCCTGGGCAATAGAGCAAGACCGCATCTCAAAACAACAAGAAAACAAACAAACAAGAAAAGCAGAAGATCCAAGTAGCCCTCAAGAAAGTAAATGTGGCAAAAATAGTGTACACTAGCTAAAGCATAACAGAAGACAAAAATCAACACAAGGTAGAGATCCTTGAAGGCCAAATTAGATCCAGACACCAAGAGCCGTTTCAGGACCCATGACAGCTCAGAAGGAGTCTGGAGTTTCAATCTGTTCCTACAAATGCAGCACAGTCGAAGGTAATTGTTATCATAGAAGCAAGCCAGCTACCAAGAACTGGCCTAGGAAGGTATAAGCCAATCCACTCTACACATACCCCATTTATTATTATTTTTTTTTTGAGACGGAGTTTCGCTCGTGTCACCCAGGCTGGAGGGCAGTGGTGCAATCTTGGCACACTGAAATCTCCACCTCCCAGGCTCAAGCGATTCTCCTGCCTCAGCCTCCCGAGTAGCTGGGATTATAGGCAGGCGCCACCATGCCTGGCTAATTTTTATATTTTTAGTAGAGACAGGTTTCACCATGTTGGCCAGGCTGGTCTTAAACTCCTGGCCTCAGGTGATCCACCTGCCTCAGCCTCCCAAAGTGCTATGATTACAGGCGTGAGCCACCATGCCTGGTACACACACCCCATTTTTAACAAGAGGTAAGAATAATGCAAACACAGCCATACTGCCATATAAATAGGGTGATACTGTCATATGATAATGTATAGCTATATACAATAATCATTTAATTCACTGATGCAAGGTGTCCTAATGGTTAATACCTGTCAAAAAAAAAATAACCAGGGAGGCCAAGGTGGGAGGATTGCTTGAGTGCAGGAGTTCGAGACCAGCCTTGGCAACATGGTGAAACCCAGTCTCTACAAAAAGTACAAAAATTGGCCAGGGCCAGGCGCGGTGCCTCACACCTGTAATCCCAGCACTTTGGGAGGCCGAGGCGGGCGGATCACGAGGTCAGGAGTTCAAGACCAGCCTGACCAATATGGTGAAACCTCATCTCTACTAAAAATACAAAAATTAACTGGGTGTGGTGGCACACACCTGTAGTCCCAGGTACTCAGGAGGCTGAGGAAGAACTGCTTGAACCTGGGGGGTGGAGGTTGCAGTGAGCCAAGATTGCACCACTGCACTCCAGCCTAGGTGACACAGCAAGACTCCATCTCAAAAAAAAAAAAAAAATTAGATAGGCATGGTGGCATGCGACTGTAATCCCAGCTACTCAGGAGGCTGAGGCACGAGAATAGCTTGAATCCAAGAGGCAGAGGTTGTAGTGAGCCAAGATCATGCCACTACACTCCAGCCTGGGTGACAGAACAAGATCCTGTCTCAAAATAAAACAAAATAATTAAAATTAATAATCTATCTGTGACTAAAGGATGTTATCAGACTTCCTTTCCCTTCCCTTAAGGATAGAGCGAGATCCTGTCTCAAATAAAATAAAATAAAATAATGAATAATCTATCTGTGACTAAGGGATGTTATCAGACTTCCTTTCCCTTCCCCTAAGGAGATGAACTAAAGGAGGCACTAAAAAGAAGAAATGCCCTAGATCAGAGGTCAGCAAACCTTTTCTATAAAGGGCCAGACAGTCGATATTTTTGGCTTTGTGGCCTATCCAGTCCCTGTTGCAACTACTTGACTTTGCTGTTGTAGCACGAAAGCAGCCACAGACAATATGTAAACAAATCAGGTGGCTGTGTTCCAACAGTGCTTTACAAAAACAGGCAGCAAGCCAGAACTGGCCCACGGCCATCATATGCCAACCCCTGTCCTAGACGTGAAACAGGAGTACGTTTAGACAAGATACCCCCAACAGGCTTGAGATGAGGAAGAAGTACTAGAGTGTCCCATGAGATGTGCAAGCCAGACTCATCTGGATCCAGATCAGACGTCTGGACTTTTCAGACCTTTGTGTTTCCATTTTCCATTCATTTTCCAGGTAAAAGTTACTACTAAAAACTCTAATTGTGCTTTGGCTCAAATTAAGAGGAAAAGACTTTTTTCCACATTTCTGTTAGATTAGAAGAGAAATGACTGGATGTGGGGAGGTGGGAAGAAAGGAAGTCAGCGGTGGCAGCTTTTGTACCAACACCAACATCCAAGAAATGGAAGGGTTCTGGTACAGAGGGGAAGGCTGGAAATAAAGTCCAGCTATAGATACTAGACCCTTCCTTCCACCACACGGCCCATCTCACCCCGGCACTGTCTCCCAACTGAGGTCCTGAGTAAAAACTTCGCCCTCTAGGAAGTAATGTTCAGAATGTGGCAGAAGTTCAGTTTTGGAAAAATGTATCTGCTCTACACTCAATCTTCTTTCCTAAGAATTGTTTTGTTAAATTTGGTCCTGCTGTGCAGGCATGGTGGCTCATGCCTGTAATCCCAGCACCCTGGGAGGCTGAGGCAGGTGGATTGCTTGAGCTTAGGAGTTTGAGACCAGACTGGGCAACATGGTGAAACCCCACATCTACTAAAAACACAAAAAATTAGCCAGGTATGGTGAGGCGTGCCTGCATTTCCAGCTACTTGGGAGGCTGAGGTAGGCGAACTGCTTGAACCCAGCAGGCAGGGGTTGCAGTGAGCTGAGATCGCACCACTGCACTCCAGCCTGGGTGATAGAGTGAGATCCTATCTTAAAAAAAAAAAAAGTTTGGTACTGTTTAAGGTAGGTCAGGAGGAAAAACAAGCAAACACTTGTATAAATGACAATGAATATTTGATGAGTTAAATTAAAATAACTGTCATTACTATCCAAGCAGCAACACCATCCAATCTGTGACACTTAAACAACAGAAACTCCTAAATTAATAACCAGCTTCCCTCTGGATGGCTACCTCAATAGCAATTTCTTTGAATGATAGTAAATATTATATAGGAAACATGAAACATGACAAGGAACAGCTTTTAATTAATGTATCTAATTAAATATGATAATGCCATATCAGGCAACTGAAATTATCTATCAGACCCCAATGTCTATTTGGTTTAAAAAAAGTTTATCAGTAAATATTGTAACTGTTAAAATAATTTCATAGGATTGGATTACATCATTTTGAATTATTGAGGTATAACTCATTTCAAAGTTAGATGAACGTTAAAATTATTTCCCTTAGACCAGATAGCCTTAAATTAATGCTGAGTAGAAATCTTGAAAATATGTGTTAAATGAGCATATGAGAGACTAGATAACATGTGTAAATTCTAGCGCTTTTGGAGGCCAAGGCGGATGGATCGATTGATGCCAGGAATGCAAGATCAGCCTGGCCAATGTGGTGAAACCCCATCTCTAATAAAAATACAAAAAATTAGCCAGACATAGTGGCACACACCTGTAGTCCCAGCTACTCCGGAGGCTGAAGCAGAAGAATCACTTGAACCTGAGAAGCAGAGATCATGCCACTGCACTCCAGCCTGGGTGACAGAGAGAGACTCCATCTCAAATAACAATAATAACGTATAAATAGATCAAAGCAAATCCACAGACACTGTAAGGAAAAATCCTGAAGTGCTTTAGGATGGCAGGGACACTCTCTTTAATTTTTTTTTTTTTTTTTTCTCAGGTTTTGAGATGTAGTCTGTCACCTAGGCTGGAGTGCAGTGGCCAATCTCGGCTCACTGCAACCTCCACCTTCTGCGATTCTCCTGTCTCAGCCTCCTGAGTAACTGGGATTACAGGCACATGCCACCAGGCTTGGTTAATTTTTGTATTTTTTAGTAGAGATGGGGTTTCACCATGTTGGTCAGGCTAATCTGGAACTCCTGACCTCATGATCCACCTGCCTTGGCCTCCCAAAGTGTTAGGAGTACAGCTGTGAATCACCATGCCCAGCCCACTCCCTTTAATTTATAGACAGCAATATATGAAGATAGACAGCTCATCAGTCAATTCAACAGATATCTACTGGGTTCCTAATATGTACTCTGACCCTATCAAGCTTCTGCCATCAAAGAGTTCACAACAGTTAAGGAGGTTAGGAAAATACATAGATATAATAGGAAGTATAATAGGAAGAATAATAGATATAAAAATAGGAGCTGCTAATCTTTTTCAGAGGAAAAGCTATTTATAATTTTCCCCCAAAGTCTTCAGATTTCTCATAGAAATGTCCGTAAGTCATTAGCAGGGGAGCAGAATGACCGGTCTCAATCTCAAGATGAATGAAGCTGGGTGTGCTGGTGCACACCTGTAATCCCAGCTACTCTAAAGGCTAAAGCGGGAG